GAGTAAAACCTTTGGCCACAAGCCTTGCTTTATACTTATCAATTGAACCGTCTGGAAAATATTTTTTCTTAAAAATCTATTTACACCCAATAGCCTTAGCTCCTTGGGGCAAATTTGATAAAACCCAAGTTTTATTTTTTCTTAAAGAATCAATTTCAATTTCAATTTCAATTGCTTCTTTCCAAAATTTGGCATCAGGAGAAGAAATAGCTTCATAAAAATTTAACGGTTCATCTTGTACTAAATAAGTGTAAAAATCATCTCCAAAACTTATTTCTTTCCTTTGTCTTTTACTTCTCCTTAAAACCAAATCCTCATTTAAATTTTGTTCAAACTCTGAATTCTCAACAGGTTTAGAAACATGCTTAATTTTCAAGGGAAAAATATGTTCAAAAAATTCAGCATCCTTAGTCTCAACAATTGTGTTTTGGTCTAAAACATCACTTTTTAAAACTAAAAAACGATATGCTGCACTTTGTTCAGCATATCCAATAAATATACAATCAGAAGTTTTAGAGCCAATTTTCCTCTTTTTAGGATCAGGCAATAAAACTTTTGCAAGACACCCCCACACTTTCAAATATTTTAAGTTTTGGGTAAACCCTTTCCACAACTCATAAGGTGTTTTCTTTGATTTCTTATGTGGTATCCTATTTTGTAAAAAACATGCAGACAAAATAACTTCTCCCCACAAGTTATCAGGGGCAGAAAAACTCACAAGTAAAGCATTCATCATTTCTTTTAATGTTCTATTTTTCCTTTCTGCAACACCATTAGACTCGGGAGAATAAGGAGGTGTTATCTCATGTATAATTCCTTCTTTTTCACAAAAATCATTTAACAAAATATATTCTCCTCCTTTATCCGATCTAACCCTTTTAATTCTTTTGTTTAACTGATTCTCAACCTCTGCTTTATATAACAAAATTTTTTCAAAAGCCTCATCTTTGTTTCTTAACAAGTATACTTTAGTATATCTTGAAAAATCATCAATAAAAGTGATATAATATTTTTTACCACCTCTAGTCATGGTTTGTTTTAAGTCACCTAAATCTGTGTGAATTAAAGATAGTAATTCAGATTCTCTTTGACTAGAAAAATGAGGTTTTTTACTTTGTTCAGTTTCTGCACATACTTCACATTTTTCAAAAACATTGTTTTTAATTTTAGAAAGTAATCCAAGTTGTCGCATCCTATTTATATAACCTTTACTAGCGTGACCTAGTCTAGCATGCCACAGGTCAAGGGAATCAACCATATAAACAGGCATATACTCAGAAGATTCAATCTTATTCATTTCATTAACATTCAAAACAAACAGTCCCTGATTACAATACCCTTTGCCTACAAACACATTATTTTTTGTCATTACAATCTTATCAGATTCAAATGACACTTTAACCCCAGCTTTCCCTAAAAGAGCAACTGACACTAAGTTAGCTCTAACTTCAGGCACATGCAGAACATCGTTCAGAGCCAGAGTCTTTCCTGATGTGAGCTTTAAGACCACTTTTCCTTTTCCTTGAACCTTAGCAGTTCGGGAAATAGCAAGGTAAACATGGTCTTCCCCTTCCTTTACAGGATTATAGGTGGTAAACATCTCTTGGCTAGCACATATGTGCCTGGTAGCCCCGGAGTCTACCACCCATTTCTTCACATCAGAAATCAAGAAAGCTTGTGACACCACTGCAGCAATGATGTCATCATCACTGTCACCATCTCGTTGTACCAAATTTACATTTGGCTTTCGAGGCTTATCACGGGTTGCTCTCTTCCTACACTGTGCTGCATAGTGTCCTGGTTTGCCACAGACAAAACAGTCTCCTTTCTTTTTGAAAGAGGGGTTAGAAGCATTGGGTTTGTAATCAGATTTTCTATTCCTCTTGTCTTTAGTTTTAGAATCATACCTCTTGCTGTGAGGCTTTGTCTCCACTAAGTTGGCTTTGGATGTCATTTCTCTGGTTCGAGCTGCACGTATTGCCTTGCGGTTGGTGTCTTCGATGATGATGTGAGTAATCAAGTCAGTCAAGGATAGCTGCTTCTGTTTGTGTTTCAGCTGCTGTTTGTAGTCAGACCATGATTCTGGCAGCTTCTCAATCAGTATCCCAGCAACGAACTCGTCTGGAAGGTTGATGTTTTTAGCACGAAGCTCCTCCAGCAGCTTATGATATTCATTGATTTGCTCCTTCACATCCTTGTTCTCGGTCATCTCCCATTTATAGTAGTTGCCCACAACGAACTTTTGTTTACCGGCATCCTCAGCAGTGTACTTTGTAACTAGGGACTCCTATATCTTACAAGCTTCCTTGTAGACACAGTAGACATCGAACAAATCATTAGATAAAGTGCTAATGATAGTGTGTCGACATACCTTGTTTGCATGAGTCCATGCAACTCGCTGGGCTTGATCAGTATCAACAGGAGGCTCGGATTGAGCAAGAGCAGCAGCCACACCATGCATGTCAAGGACGGTGAAGACACGTTCTTGCCAGCGTTTGAAGTTCCGGCCATCAAAGACTTCTATCTTCGATATGTCTGGAAACGGCCTCAGTAAAGGGACGGCAACAGCGGCAGGGACGTACTGACCTCCGGCCGAACCACTCAGCACACCCTCGGGAGTGATATTCTCAGCACTGTTGGTCGCCATTGGGTTGAATAGTTCTTAAGATTGTTGGCCACACAGGCGTGGACAGCGACACCTGATTGGTTGCTTGAGTCGTGCCCGGAAGGACACTGTCCTTAAGAACTATTCCAACACGCCGTCTGACGGCCGGCAGTTCCCCAGGATTAAACAAGCACCTCCTCGGTGGAACGAGAGAACAGAACAATGGAGACCAAACGTAATCACAAACGTACACAGACAGATTCACAGAGGGAGGAAGAGAGAACCGCGAGGACTCAAGAGGCTTTTTTTTTCGCTCTGTCTAAACCCATGGCTATATATAGCCCGAAGGTGGACATGAACGTTGGGGGGTTACCACTGGTTTAAAAGCTCAGTTACAGTCTCATAAAAATTATTTAAAAACTTGTCTGGAAATGTTGGAGTTACACAAAACGCATTCAACCTCCTGTCTGGAAACGTTGGGAACGTTGGGAAGATAAACGTTTAGAAAAAATTAATTTGTTTAATGAAAAAAAACGTTCTTGGTTTGACTTCAAACTCCAGACAGCCAAAATTTGAGTTTCTCCGGCAAGCCAAAATAATTATTTATTTGTAAAAATAATCCGGTAAAAGGAATCCACTACCTCTTGAACTCGCGCGCAGGGGGGGCGAATCGGCTAATTTCAACTGCGATTGCCCTGAGTTGGCTTGTCTCATGTGCGCGAAGCCACTTCTCTTCCAAGCCCATTTTACTATCCCACTTCATTCCTTAGTATATATACACTAGGAGAGTCTTTCTTTTAATCAATGTGGGACTTTGACACACACACACTTTTGACACACATACAACAAAAAGAAAATCTCACTTGGGTTCACGCGCGGGCGACAACACTTGATAGGTTCACGGGCACAGTCACGACGGCAGCTCAGTTCATGTCTGTGGAGGAATGAAGCGCAAAAAGGACGGATGGAAGAAGCACGAAGGAGGCGGCAGCTAGGACTGGGAAAGTAGAGTTCACGGTATTTACAAAAATGCCATTCATGAAAATTGGATATTCTCCACCTCTTGCCTATTCTCTAGAATAATACTCCTCTGGTCTCATGTATGGGGCAGAGAGAGAATGATTTTTTTTAGTCTTATTTAGAAGTTATGTCATTCAATTTTTATTACAAATTTTCTCTTTTACCTTCTATTGAATATTAGAAAGAAAATATGGATAAAGTTGATAACTTATTAAATTTTAAGACAGAGTTAATAAGTTTTAAAATTTTTTTTTGTATTGATAAAATATGTTGGAAGTAATTTATAAATAGGATTAAAGAAGTAGTAATAATGTCAAAACATGTAAAAGATGTTTGTGTGTTTTTTTTACATCAACAACATTTGACATTTTTGTTTTTGAAAACAAAGTGTTAAAAATATGTCACAAACAGATTTTTTAGTATTTTTAGGAAATAAAAAATTATTTTTAAAATAAGTTACCAAACATGCCCTATACTTTGGTGATAAGAAAATTGTTTTTTCCTTTTCCTCCATTCCTCTAGGTCTCAAAATTTAAAATTAAAAAGATAAACTCGTCTAATCTTATTTATAAGGTACTTTTAACATGTTTCATTAAAATTAAAAAAATCTTAAAACTTATTAACTCTATTTAATAATTTAATAATTTTTTAACTTTGCTTTTATTAAATATACATATTTTAACATTTTTTTTCTATAACATTTAATGAAGGTTAAATGAAAAAATTTATTATGAAACTTTAATAATATGCCTTATATAAAGGATAAAAAAAATCTTTTTTTTTCCTGCTTTATAAAGTACTTCTAGTCTCCTCAATCTTCTCAATAGTCTACAACCCTGCAAGCTCCACCTGCTTCCCTGTCTTTGTGGTTCATTGGTCATGTTGAAACTCCAAAAGCCCGGGTTCGATTACAGGTATCACCCTTCATCCAAACCCTAAAACGCTTCCAATCTGCTCTTTCCCTGTGTTTCCTCATCAGGCCACCATTGTATTCGTTTTGATAATATCGCTTCACTTCATGGTCATAGTAATGTTGTTTTTATTTAATGTAATTATTGCTCAGTTTATATTGTATATTTTTTGAAGTGACTTCTTTATTAATTAACGCCATGGAATTAGTAAGTGATGGTTGTATTCAATACTTCCGGAACTAGTAGTAATCCTCAACAACGGGAACTACAGCTAGACTGCATTTCTTCTCAATAAGGCATACAAGGCTAATTGTCGAAACCCTGTACTGGCGAGTTTATTTAGAAATTATTAAGGTCCTTATTATAACGTGATAAAACATTTCTTATTGCCGTGTGTGTGTGTGTGTGTGTGTGTGTGTGTGTGTGTCAACAAATAATCCGCATGATTGAACGAAGATATAACATTTCGTTAAATGTTTCGGGTTGTCTAATTAGAACTCAACATGTTCAAGATTATCAATTTCCAACATGGGCTACATTGTTTTAATGGTTTCAGTAGCCAGGTTATGTATCAAGTATGTACACATGTTGAAATTTTATCCGTAATAAAGTCGACACCTGTGTAAGCCATTTCCAACCCGAAGTATTCAGGATTTCCCTGAATAAATTTAACCACGTTGTCCAAATACAAGCAGAAGGCCAGAAGCTCCTCAGATCACTTCTTGAAATACACTAACCTGCAATATGCACAGAATTAAGATTAGCTACTGAACTGCAAGCAACCACAAATTTCAAGTTCTATTGCACTTTTCTGTTCTTTCAAAGATAAATCAAACATACAAAGACTTCATTTCCCATATATTTATGGACATATAATGCCAATGCATTTTGGTAAGATTCATCCAACTCACAAGTTTGCTACTTATACCTCTGTAAACAGGAAGCCCCGGTTGTCTAGTATGCATTTAGAAAAAAGTAAATAGAAACTATAAAGCAAAAGTTAATTGTTCAAAAGAAATGAGGAACCAAGATATCTAGCTGCTGGAAAAAGGATGATTAATAAATCAATACTAAGCGCAGATGAACATGCCAAGTAAAATTATCAAGAAAATATTTACAGCAGTCTGGAGTCCGGCAAAACAATCCATTCATGTTGGTCAAGACATGAAACTAAGCATGTCGCAATGTCAAAACCATGGATCATATTTGACCAGAAATTCTGACACGCATCATGGGAAACCCAAAAATGACAAAGCAACAGAAGAATTTAATAGAATGGAAGTTATTGCAGACATATGAATAATATCTTACCATCAAAGTCATCATTTATTATCACCATCACTGCTTCTCCAGAATGAAAAGGGAGGAAGTTGTGTCAGCACATACTCCATGAGCCTACCAGGAACAGATTTGTCCGTTGAAACATTCTCAGTATCACCTTCTTCTGTATCAAGATCCCGCCAGAACTTGATGACATGGAGACTTTCTTCCTCAGTTGATCTTTGAATGACAATCCTAGATGCATATCCTTTCTCCCTCATATGAAGGCATATCTCAGAGGGGTTGTTTGCTGTGAGAGTGACCATGTACAACCATCCCTTTTCTGACAAAAGATCATCTGCAACTGGCAATATCTTATCAATAACACTCCGGCCATTCTCCCCACCAGCCCAAGAAGCAGCAATACCCCCAACACCTACTTCGTCTTCGGGGGTAGGCACATATGGAGGGTTCACAACGATGACATCAACCAATCCTGCTAAACGCTTCTCTAGTCCTGATGCAATATCTGTGATTATCAACTCAGCATCAACCCCATGTGCATCCAGTGTCTCCCGTGTCACCCGTACTGCTTGTGGGTTGATGTCTGTTGCAATATAGTTGATAGCAAGACCTTCCTGTCCAAGCATAAGAGCTAGGGAAGTAATTACATATCCACTACCACAACCTATCTCCATACACAATGTAGGGCAATGCTTCAACAAGTTATGGCGGTCAGCTAGAAGAGCATCAACCAATGCAAAAGAATCATCACACGGTTCATAGACCTCCTCATGTGAACTCACCAGACGAATTTGTGCAGTTCTAGAGGGCATCTTTTTCACAGCCTTGAATTACAAAATGGTTGTCAGTAAAACTCAATGGCTCATTGAAGAAGAGGGGAAGCCAAAAAAGATTTGAGGTACTTTACCATTTCATTGTTTATTTTTGTAGCAGTTTGTAAAGCCCTTATTGGCTCCACTTCTGGATTGCTCTGATCCATGTTAAGAAGCAAAAATCATGCAGTAAGATTTCTCCTTACTCAGTTCTGAGCCCAAGATTAAGAAAAATTAAAATGTTAATATTATACACGGGTAACAACCAGCTGTAGTGAAAAAGTTAAACTAAAAATGATAGTTGCAAATATTACAGGAAAGAGGAAGTGAATAAATTATTATAAAATTGACTTAAACTACATCCTAAATAAGATCAAAACAGGCACAAGTAAATAAGTTCAATGATCATGAGGTTTTTACTCAACATTGTTCATGGGCCACTGTTTAATAATTGTCATTTAGCTCAAAACTATCAAATTCACTCCACTTTCTAAAGCAGACCTAACATAAGTTGGGACAAAATCTTGCTTCTTTATCACAATATAGGTTGACTCTCACATTCTGATTGTTACTAGTGTAATGATGGAGAGTTGGAGGCCAAGGTAGTACGGCATGTCCAGGCTCCAATCAAGCAGCATATATTGCATAATGCAGTACTCAACCAAGAGAAGTTCTCCCAACTTTTGGGGGAAGGCTCTCCACCCTGCTTGGATGCCTACTTGGTATTAGAAATGGTAGTTTTTGTCTCCAAAGAGTACGACTTGTATAAGGTTCCCACCAAGCACCAGTAGAAGGCTGGTGAAATGTTGCAGTGTAGCCACCCGGATATCAACTTTCCAAGGGTGGCCAACACCAATTAATAGATACCAAGATAGTATGTGATGTCCCAAGCCCCACATTGAGTTATACAGGCTACTTAAAGAGGTACTCCAGTTATGTATTTCTCTAGCCTCAACAACTAGCTTTTGAGAGAAAATAGTCGACCCTGCTTGAATGGACTCAGGATTGGTGGGATGGGGCTTTATATTAGTTATACACATACGTATTTTAGCATATGAAGCTCTGGATTGATTTGAGACAGGTCCATGCTCTCAAGAGAAAAGTAGATAGATATATGATGAGAAACAAAGCAGACACTCTGGTAAGTTTAAGAAGAAATGTTATATTCAGACGCAGGAAAACCATGAGTAAAACCAAGAAGCTCCATTTGTCCTGTTAACGAAACCAAGCATTCATAGATCTGTCCAAACAGAGGATGTGATGCATCACTCACGACAAACTCATGTACAATGCTGTTAACTTCAATTGAGCTACAACCAGGAGTTTTATCTAATCCTCTCTCTCTCATTAATTTCCTTGCATCTCTTGCTTCCTTCCACATTCTTGCTTCTCCATACATATTAGCAAGCAAAATATAGGTCCCACTATCTTGAGGATCCAACTCAAGAAGCTTAAATGCCGCCCTCTCTCCAATTGAAACATTGCCATGAACACGACAAGCAAAAAATAAAGCACCCCAAACAGCAGCATCTGCAGTTATGGGCATATTTTTAATAAGCTCCTCTGCTTCTTCCAAATGACCAGCCCTACCTAGAAGGTTCACCATGCATGAGTAATGTTTAAGCTTAGGGGATATGTTGAATTTAGAGCTCATTTGGTTAAAAAATTCACGGCCTTCTTCAACCAAACCACCATGACAACAAGCTGATAAGATGCCAAGAAAAGCAATCTCATCAGGCATCAACCCATTACGAATCATTTCTGAGAAATAGGATACAGCATCACAGGCATTTCCATGAAGTGCTAAACCACAAATAATGGCACTCCAAGTCAAACAATTTTTTTGTGGCATCTCATTGAAAACCTGCAGAGCTCTTGCAATATTTCCACACTTGGCATACATGTCAACTAGTGCAGTTCCCAGGGCAACACCTAAAGAAATGCTGTGTCTTTTAATATAATGGTGAAGCCACATTCCAATATCAAGTGCTCCAAGTTGTGAGCATGCTGACAAGCAGTTAACCATGGTTACTTCGTCAGGTTTTATATTACTGAGTTGCATTTCATGGAATAGAGTCAATGCTTCTTTACTGCGCTTGGCTTCAACACAACCACTAATTATTGCATTCCAGGGGACAACATTCTTCTCTGGAATTTCATTCAGAAGTCCCCTAGCAATATCCAGAAAACCAAATCTGGCATATCCCAAAACCATCGTAGTCCATGAAACAAGGGTCTTCTGTGCCATATTATCAAACAAAAGTTGTGCTGCCATAAGGTCCCCACACCTGACATACATGTCCATAAGTGCATTAGTAAGTGGAATTGTCAGATCAAACCTATGTTCTTTGATGTAGTGATGAAATTTTCTGCCAAGATTCAAATCCTGCAGCTGAGAACAGCAAGACACCATACCAACCATTGTAATCTCATTTGGCTTCACTTTCTCAGCCTCCATTTCCCAAAAGAGATTGAATGCCTGGTCTGTTAGCCCTCTTTTAACACACCCACTAATCATGGAGTTCCAGGTTACCAGGTCTCTCACGCAGCTTTTATCAAACACATCATATACTGTCTCTAATCGTCCGTGTGAGAATAGCATAGTGATCAATGCATTGTGAACAAATAAATCAAATTCAAAGCCAAACTTCAATATATGTCCAACAATAGCAAGACCCACAAAATTAAGAGAGGGGCTAGAACAAGCTTTAAGCAAAAATGGGAAAGTATGATTATCTGGCCTCAACATAGCATCTTGTAACATTCTTTTGTACAAAAGAAGAGCTCCTTCAGAGTTTCCACTCTCTAAATATCCCCTAATTGTCACATTCCAAGAAAAGACATTTGGGTGTTGTGTATTGAACAAAATTTTTGTGCAATAACCAAGAGTTTGTGACTCAGAAAGGGCACAAAAAGCAATAAGGCGACTAGCTGCAAAGCCATCATAGATTAATCCAGTTAGTATCATTTGGGCTTGGATTTGCTTTAACTGGATAAAGGATTTGCATCTTTCTAAGAGAGAAAGAAGTCGATTTGTTTGAACAAAACTGTGGTTTGTGTTCCAATTGATAGTTTTTGGATAGAGAGGCAAAGATTGAGTATGTATGTAAGAAAGAAAGGGGCCTGGGTACAGGAATTTGCTCAAAGCTGGACATCTGAGTTTGCTCAAATACAGGATGATCATTAGTTTCAAACACTAGTCTAGAAAGTAGACGTATGTCTTCCACATTCTATATTAGAATTGGGGGGGAGATATCCGTTGACAATGGTCTCTGAAATGTTTTTCTGTTTGTTCAGAAAGAAGCAAACCAGTGTCACTTAATAATACATAGCACACACCAGAGAAGAGTAGGCTTTCAACATAATCAAGAGAGATTTCAATCAGATGGAACATGACACGTATACTTTGACTAGGTTTCTCAAATATCTTGAAGGGAAAAATTTGCATTGTCATCCTTCTAAGAAGCCATAATCCCAAGATTGCAGACTAAGCAAGTGTTAAGATAACTAGATCTCGGGCATGGAGGAAGGAAGCCTCATTGTTCATGGCTCAGTGAACAGTGCAGCTTCTTCCAGCTTTTACACACGCACACACTCACACACACACATTGATGTATTAATTAATATTGTTTCCCAAAGCTTAACTAATTTACATCAACACTATGTAAATGTAAGAATTATTATAATCAATCTAGCCATTACAATGATAGAACAATCAGCTAACTTTGCAAGAAAATTCAAAAATCAAAATGCATTACCTTAAAGTCACAAGAGATTGTTTCTTTTCAATTGGTAGGTTGAGCACGCATTATCCATGGACCAAAATTTCATATACTCAAAGTGCAGTTCTATATATATATATATATATTTTTTTTTTTTTTTCAATTCAATATTTAATATCCCTATTCATGCAAGTAGAAGAAACTAAGTTGTTGGCAAAAAAGAAGAAGAAACTAAGTTGGCTTCAAAATTCAGTTCGTTTAGCAGAAACAATTGAAAGATGCAGGCTCAAGAGACCCAAAAAAAAAAAAAAACAGAGAATGCAGCTTACATCACATTCATGGTACCCACAAAGTTCCTGCTTTCAGCTTCTAAACAACCTTATATCAATTTATTCACATTGGGTTTCGCACCCAGACAATGAAAAATGGGGCATTTAAAAGATCGGCACATTACACCCCAAAAAATGAAAGAAATCAGCACAGTGAAAAAACAAATCAATCAGCAAGATAGATGAATGGAAGAGAAAACAGATGAACTGACCTCATTAACTGACGGCTTAGATGGTGGCATCGGACGACGAGGTTGAGCCGGTGAGCTGCTGATGAAAGGCGGGGGAGAGAAACGAACCTCGTTATGTTATTCCCGCGGGTTTTATGAAATTGGCTTTACAAGAGGGCAGTAGACGGCGGGTTTAAAACGAGGGAGAAAGAAAGGATGGATTTTCGTGAATGCCCGCGGAGAGAGAATTTATGGATGGGCAACGAGCCGACGAAAACCAATGATCAGTTATCAGCCTTCGACAAAACTCTTAATACGTGATTTATATTATAATCACTTTCAAGTTTAGACTGTATTATCAAACTAAGCACGATAGTCAGATTGCTGATGCTTTTGAAAAGGAAAGAAATTTTACGGTATATACCATCCTTGCAAAACATTTCATCTCTCATATGTAATCTTTTTTCTATTCATAGAAAATTATAAAAGAGTAAAATTTAAAAAAATCAATTATTCCTATTTTTTAACAAATTAATTATTCATCAATTTCTTATATCAAGTGACGTATAAAATTTGAGAGAATACAATAGAGGAATCCAGAGTGATCTGCATAGGAGCAAAATTTTAAATAACGTAAAACATGGGCCAAGAGATTCAATTTTAGATATTTTTATACAGAAAATTTTGACACTAATTTATAAAGGGAGGTGGAAAGTATGGGGGCAAGCAGGTGCCTGTCCTGTTATAGCATTTTTTAAGCCCAAAAAGCTTCAAGCATGCAGCGAGCAAAATCAAGTTTTTGTTTCAGAAATCAACATAATATTTGAATATCTCTTGCAGAAAATTGCATTGAAAAAACTTAATTTAGAAAATTCAGTTTAGCATGGACAACTTTTTACTTGCATTATGAAAATTGAGGTTTAAGGAACAAAAGCTAAATTAATTAACAAAAATCAGCTAAACAAGCATTCAATGAAAATTTTGTAAATAATTAAACGAGTTGATCATTAATTTCGGTCTTGCCCTGGTGGTTCTCTCATTCGACGTATATTTACATGAAAAAATTATTTTATCTATCAGTCCTCAACAGTCCTCATCATATTGAAGAATTAGTAATGAATCACAATCGCTTTTTTTGACAACTTCTGGTGGAAAATGCAGCCTGCTTACCCAATTGCTTCTTTGACGGTTGGTGTTCTTATAATACACAGTCAAGGTATCTGAAATACTAAGGTTGTTCCTCGGTGAGCTTTAGAGTTCTCGTTTTTTTTTTTTTTTTTTGCAGCAAATTTATGGTTCTCGTCTTGTTAGTGCCATTTGCAACGTGCTTCAAGATAGGATTGTCTGGACCTCGGAAGGTGTTTTGAGTTTATTGTTTGACAAGTCTGTTTTGATGTAAATCTTGTTTTCCTCAAGTTCTGCTTTTGCTTGCAGTTTGTTATCCGGCCACTAAAGAAAGCAAGAAGAAGGATTGTTTGGAAGAACAATGGAGACCCAAGGAATTCTTACATGAATCTGGAATACCATGTCGTTCATGGCTTGTCTTATAAAAACATACCATGTCAAATAATTGTAAATATAAATTGATTTTATCATTGATAATGATAGAGAAAGAACAACTAATAAATTAAAGACACTCTATTTTAAAAATAAAAAAATAAAAATAATTATATATAAGATTTTATTTGATTGAGCTAGTACATATAACATAGCATGTTTTTATTGGACAGCCTGACATGATATACTAATACATGCAAGAAGTTTTGATCCAAATCCCTTCTCTTGAAAGCATTTGTGCGTCTTAAATGTGATTTGACCATTATCGATTCATGATTTCCATTTATTACAAGTTTTTATTCTATTTAAGTTGACTAATCACATTTATCATAACTATTGTAGATTGATTTAATATTTATTAGGATATTTCATTTTGTCCTATGAGACCTAGTGACCTCCCTCCTTCATGTGTCTTTCCGGAGTATCCTTTCTTCAAGCATGCTTATGTCATTTATTGCAATGTAGAAATTGAAGCTTCCTCTTATAGGATCATTTATCTTTGCATGCATTCTAATATATGAAACCATTTCATAATTATTGGAACTAATAGGTAGAATTAAAGCCTAAATTATGTCGAGAATATTGTCCTTAAAAGTTATTCTACTATACTAAGTTGTTCGCATGACAATTCTCTAAGATTAAATAGACTCATCTTACAAAATAAATAGGGTCACAGAATAACAAAGATTAGCAAATCTACTCAACAACAAAATACAGAGGAGATGCTTGAGAATTAAAGAGCTGAGCCTCGAACACATTTCATTTCCAAACTATATATAGGCGCAGTACATGGGCGACCTTGGCAAAGTATTTAGACATTGGTTTAAAGAACATAATAGCACATAAAATCCTTTTATTTGGATGTTTTTGAAAGTTGAGAAAGTAATGGCAATTAAATATTATTTAAAGCCATTAACTCATTTAAATACTAAATAAAAAACTCCTCATCAATAATATACTCCATAAACTTATAATTTCAATACAACAAACAGTGGTTTTTAAAGAAAGCGAAGGGGATAGTTAATTTAATAATTTTGCAAAAATAAGCTCAATAAAAGAATCCAGTGCATCTTCAACTCATGTATAAAAGTTGCTCAAATTTATTTTTCTTCCAAATTCATTTACTAATCCACCTTCATTTCTTAACATATAAACACTAGGAGCTTGCATCATGTGGAAAACTAAGTAATTTTGTCAAAAATTTTGTGGCGCTGATTGAGAGCGGGAGCATTGCTAGCTTTCTAATTTGCTCGGAGCCTTTTCTTCAGATTCGATTCGTCCTTTTGGCTTTTTGACATGAATCACGTGAATTGATCACTTTCACCTCCCAAAAATTGAAGCCCACACCACCAGCCTAACGCCCCTGTCGATTAAATATCCTTCTCATTGTTAAGGTTGCGTTTGGTTCGACAGAAAAAAGAGGTGGGTGGGAGACATTGTAAGGGTAATTGGAAAATTAATATTACTATAGATATAGATATCCAGTCTCTTAAACCCCCACTACTAGCCACTGTATCATTTTTACTGCATGGGATCCCTATCCTTTTAAAACCCTCCAATCAAATATTATATTAATATTTTTTAATAAAATTTCATCATCATATTTTCCTTTCATTTCGAAAAGAATTACTAATTACTATCACTAGTCTATTAAAATAGAACTGCTTGTTACTTTCTAAGCATACAAGATTATAGTTAGATTTTTGTTGCATTACATCTAATATCCCGTACTGTTGGATCAGTTCGAATGTTGTCAAGATAAACTGATGGTAACTCTCTAGCATATTTTTTTGTATCTTTACACATACACAAAAATTACAATTAGCTTTACTTTGTCAATGGAATTAGGCTTTTTTATACTATTATTTAAATAACTACTTTTGCTGCCGTATTGAAAATACAAAGAAGATTGATAATTAAGAATTACCAGGTTTTTAAGAATGCTTTATTTGAAATGTACAATTGATTTTATGTGATTTCGGTAATCTACCAAGTAATAAGAGAAAAGAAAAGTTAAAATTAATTCCATTGGTCCTAAATGAGACTGGTGATGTTGCATGTAATCAAGAGTTAAATGACAATTTGACCCTTGAATTATAGGCCTAGGAACATATAGGATCATGAACTCTTAAATGCTACTCTTATCATTAACAAAAATTAATTTTGGCCATTAGTTAACTGTTAGATTATAGAAAAGAACCAAGAAAAATTTCTTAATCATTTTCTATAATTTTTGGATCATTGTTTGTACTTTTTTGGTCATTTTTTAAAAGAAAATCTTGGTCCTTACTTGTCATTTTTTGATTAACTAATGGTTAAAATTAACTTTTGTTAATGATGGACGCGATATTACATCATTTCTAAAAGTTGAACGAAAATATTGCACCAAAAACAAGTTTAGGATCTCAAATATTTTGCTTTTCAATTTCAGTTTTCGACTTAATAACGGTTCAACTCATGTCTAACTTGACTCACTCATGAACATAATTTTTTAATCCAAACTGAATTGCTAATAACTCTAGTCAGCGATCCAACTAGTCTAACCATGTGATTGGGTCCAATAGTTTTCTTGGCTAGCAGATAGTTAAGCAGCTTCACATGTGACATATTGCATTATTTACATACATTTTATGATGATTTTCTGGCATTATTGCATCCTTGGGAACTCAATTCTTACATATTTAAGCATTTTTAGGCCTTTAAAATTAATTAGGATTCATTCATAGCCTGAGAGTATTTTGATCATTTTGACAATTTTGGGACATCAGCTTATTTTGTATCTTTTGTCTTCCTAAAATTAATGGAACAAGTTTGACATTCAAAATCATTTTAGTTTGCAAAGAGATATCAAAAGATACAAGTTATAGAATATTCCAAGACAAAGACATTAATACTATGTTGACATGTTTTATAACCTAAGAGGTTAAAAATGGTATTGTATTTTGCAATTGACTTTGAGTTTTGATTTAAAATTTTTCACACATGCTTTGATTACTCTTATGTATATAATTGCATGTGCAAATAGGGATTTGGATGAAGAATAAATGGTCAAGAGATGAGATTATAAGACAAATTACAAAGCAAAAAGACCCTAGAGTGATACATGTGTAAGAGTTGATTCAAAGAGCTTCTAATAACTCTAAGCATTGAAGATTCCAACCAAGCAACCCTTAATCACCCTTTGATAATATTTTTAAAAGTGTTTACTGAGTTCTATTTAAGTGTGGAGCATCCTACAAGAGCTATATATGCATCTAAGTTAACATAGCTTGAATAATGGCCATATTCATTCTTGAACCTCCTAACCAAATTTGTTAAGTAGTTTCATATATTTTATGGCTTTAATCACTTAAAACCCATCCAATTCTACTTATTTTATAATATCACAAGTTGAATATAAGGGTTTTGGGTTGTGCACACACTTATTCAATCATTTTTCACATCACAATTCACACATATTCTCCCTCTATTTTTTGAAATTTCCATCACCACTTCATCCAAATTTTCTCTCATTTTCCCACACTTTTCTAGCCACATTCCTTCATTTCAAGCAAGTATTGGAGTCGTGGAAGTCATCTTAAAGAGGGTTCAAACTTAAATTCAAGGAGAATTCACTATGAGAGGCTA